TCGGGTCACTTCGCCAAAATATGCTGATGCATAATGTTTACGTTTTCTGCTCACGCATCAGATTAGCCTCGCAGCGCCAAGCCCTTCGTATACCCAGCAAAAGCAAATGCGGCGAGTGTATATTGGCTCTGAGTGCGGAAGGGAGGAATCCTTGAGTAAGATAAGAATTCCCCTGAGATGAGCTTTGAATAAATATGTCTGATAACTCTTGATATTTCCTCAATTTCGATAAATATCGATATATCAAAAAGACTTTTCAGGATAGAAACAAGTTTGTAATACGAATTGCTGCGACGATTGGATACTTCAGCCCCATGAAGATGGGAAAGGCTCCTACGCTTCTATCTATATCACTTCCAGGTCTTGTAGGTTAGGGTATCTGCCAGTCGGGCAGCTCTTCGAACCGGCTCGACATGTTTTTCATTTGTTTGATGATGGACGTGGACGTGGGGCTAAAACTTTTCTGCAAATTGTGCAAATTAAGCGCTTGAATAAAAACCGCCAAAAACTTTGCGGAAACAACAACAAAACAACAGCAAAAGGGGGAATATGAATGCATTTGCATATACCCATACATATGTATGTATCACGTACATTAACATACATGCATATGGATATGAATATGTATTTATTGATATTCATGCCACGTGCTCGAAACTTTTCACTCGCACTGCAGACAAGCCAAAGGGTCAGATAAATGCTAAAAATATCCTTTCCTTGTTGCTGCTACTTTGGGGCCGCCCAGAGACCTGTTGTTTCCCACTGAACTGAATCCGAATACAGTTGCAGTCAATAGAAAGTGTGAGTCCCAACTCAGAAATACCCTATCCACTGCACACCCAGACACACTCACACATTGAAGCAAATGAGAGACCTGGTGATTGCAAGATTTCTACTACTTAATGTACTCGAGTCATGGGAAGGTTCCCCAGCGTTCTCAGGACTTCGAGAGGATATCCCATCTTATATGTCCACAACAAGGGCAAAGTGTGCGGAGCTGTTGTATGGAATTAACTAGAGGGTATCCGATAGTCGATCCACACTCACTCTTATCGCATTGACATAGGCAACAGCTGTCGTGTTTGCACGTTTGCAGGGCATCTGCTAGTCGGTCCTGCGAGTCGCTGACCACTTTTTGGCATTGGTTGCTCTCATTGCGCTCACTGATTGATGATGCTCAATCGAACTCTGAGCAAGCTCTCTCTCTCTCTCGCATCATATCAATCTCTGCTCTCTCTCCTTCTCTCTCTCACTCTGTTCACTTGCAATAGAATAGTTTTCGCATGACCATGGGATGGACCACTGCAGTGACGAATGCTCATCGATTTATGCACTTGTGTGTCCCTAATGAAGCACATTTTCAATTTAWTGCACTACACAGATACTATATATATATACTATGTAAAAATGTTGCTATATTTACCGCATATATGTGTTGGTTGCACCACTCGCATGATTGATATTCATATATATTTTCAAGCAAACCTTATATAAGCAACCTCTATATAATATGCTAACTTTTTGGAGTGTAATTTTCTTGTTTTTACTGCTGCGGCAACTGCTATCCATCAACATCAATCAATGGCCAAACCGACGTCATCGAAAGGTCTTACAAGACGGAAATAGCTGAAATGGAGACGGTGCTGTGAAGTGTTTACCAGGCATCATCTACATTTTTTTCTCTAGCCACGTCGATCCAAATACTACAGTAAATAAGTTCAGCGCAACCCATATCCATCCCAGCCGAAACCAAATAGAGCTGCCAACTGAAGACGCACCATTCATCGTCACATCCCAAACGAAACAAATTTACATATGATGTAAGTTGTTCAACTCAATCCACATCAAGCATAGCCAGAAAACAGCAAAAGAAACTCAAGCAATAATTTAATTGGATGCCAAGTTCTAGGCATTGCCACTAAGACAGTTTGCTCGTCAATCATCGTCAATCACAGTCAAGTAAAACTCTTGTAATTACAACAAAATAAAACAATTTTTTTTATATCTAACATAAAAAATAAACCAAAAGTCAAACTTATGATATAAGCAGCTCGGATCAACCCGCATCAATCAGCATCAACCAAAACCAAAAAGAAGAACAAGCAGAATTAGCAGCGAAGCCAAAGTCAAATTTATACAAGAAAAACAACTAAAAATTAACAACACTAAAAATACAAATAAAAAACATATGCATATATATATAAAGTCTCAACAACACCCTTCATATATATATATGTATATATATACACAAAAATA